GTCGCAGGAAGAAACTCTTCTGTGTTGTGAGCAGAGCCTCTGACAGTTTTAACCAGTGCTGAGCTCCTTAGACACGCCCAGTCTGGCCTTCAGTGGGGCTCCAGAAGGCAAGGACTTTCCCCCGGGCTTCCCTAGGAGGACAGATCCTCATGGCTGGCTTTTCTGTCTGGTCATCTGGGTACACCTGGTTCTTTCCTTAGCATTGCAAACACAAAACACAACCCCCCCCCCCTGTGATCCTGCACAGCTTCTAGCAGGGCAAAGGGCTCCTTAGATTCCCTTTTCCCATCAGTGCTTTGTGCTAGGTACAATCCAGGGCCACACACACAGACACTAGGGACGTGCTCACCCATCTAGCTGCACCATTAGGCCTCCGGTTATTTTCTTACTGTTTTCATGTTTGAGGCGCACTCTTATTCTATAGCCCAACCTGGCCTGAAACTCGTGATCCTCTTGTCCCACCCTCCTCAGTGCTGTAATATAGGCCGGGATCCCTGTGCCCAGCTTGACAGACAGGACTCAGGTGTCTGTGGAAATGAGGTCTCCTTCCGTGTGGTCTTGCCTGCCTCTGCCTAAGCATGGAGAGCTCGCTCCCTGTGGGCACCGTTGGCCAGGGTCATCCGAACACAAACCCCTTTCCTGGCAGGTCTCACTTTTCTCTGGCTGAAGTGTTGGGTGGCTGCTCCAGCTTGAGAGTTTGGGGATTACATGTGTAAACCTTGTTCTGGGGTGACACAGGCGGCCCTGAACTTGGACTTGATGGTCCCAGGTTTCTGTGTTCTAAGATGCTTTTATGTATTTACCACCAGAGGCTGCCACATTCTCGCAGCCAGTGAAGACATAGGGCTTCACTGAAGGTTTCAGGGAAGTATGTGGTTTGTCACCCTGGAGCTAGAGCCAAGCTTCCCTTCACTCACCCCTGTAAGCAGTGTGTGCTGTGCTGTCCTAGAACCAGCGGCCCCATGGTGGATAGAGAGCCCCCACACAGTCCCGAGAACAGTGTAAGAAATAACCGCGGTAGTGTGAGAGATGGCTTGCTGAGTGTTCCTGAAGGGAGGAAGTAAGGCAGAGCTGGGTAGATCCATGCTTTTTCCTGAGCCAAGGGGAGGTGTGGATTCTAGTCCCTGGATTAGGATGCACAGAGGTTAGAGGTTGTCTGCCACAGCCAAGGAAGGGCCATGCCGTGTTACCTAGCCCAGACACCAGGTGCCACGGGTAGAAAAGCTGAAGTACACGGGCTGGTACTCCAGAGGCTGAGGCAGGGAGATCTCAAGTTCAAGGCTTGTGTGGGCCAGCCCAGACAACTTTGTGAGACCCCGTCTCCAGAGGATGGCTAAGGATGTAGTTCCATGGTAGAGCGCTTGGCTTGGCCCCACAGTCTTGGGTTTCATCTTCTGCATCCTCATACATCCCCCTTTAGACAAGAAGAGAAAGCTAA